ATGGCGGCAGCGGAGGCAGCTCGAGGGGGAAAAAACATTTGTTTGGATTTCTGTCATTGTCAATGACTCATTGTACAGCTGGTACTCTCCACCTCTGGTCTCCACTTTCCACTTTGATTTTAACCTCAAAACATCACCACCACCACCACCACCACCACCATGACCGAAGGGAGCAGCTCAAACGACGACGAGACGTACATCCTCGACGACCAGGCCGAGTTCTTCTCCAGTAAGTCTTACCGTCACTTAGCACCTGAACTGCCTGTTTGAACCACCATTCTTCTCTTTACAGATGATGAGGACTACGAGGGCGATAGAACTACCTACCACCAGCACCACCACCGTCAGCAGCCGAGGATGACGGTTCGCATTGCGGACAAGGCGGCGCTGAACTGCCGGCGAAACTGCGGCTTCTTCGGCAACTCCGAGTGGGACGGCTACTGCTCCAAGTGCTACAGCGAGATCAGGCACGGCACCTCGCCCTCCGCCGCCTCGGCAGCCCATCCGCCGCCCTCCTTCCTCTCTCCGAAGTCGCAACAATCACCCTCCTCCTCCAGTCCGCTCTCCTTTCGGAAGATGCTCCCCGAGGTGACGCTCCCTCTTCGCGCCCAGTCGGCCTCCTCGTTGCCGCAGTCGGAGGCCTCCTCGCTCTCCTTCCGCAAGTTCGAGGAGAAAAAGAGCCGCCAGCAGCCGGACAAGAAAAAGTTCTACAAGACCTTCTTCCGCAAGTCGTCCTCCTCCTTTCGCGAGTACCGCTCCTCCTCTAGTCAGGCAGCAGCCACCGACGGCGCCGCCTCTACCTCCACCTCCACCTCCTCCAGCAAAGACGACACCACCGCCTGGCAGTTCTTCAGCCTGGAGAAGCCGCTAATGTTCGGCGAGGAGATGCTGACGAAGCTCTTCACGCCGACCAGCATCGCCGACGTGACCGCGAGCATCGGCAAGTGCGCCGAGAAGGTCAACCGAATGCTGGTCCGCGGGGCGACCATCGACGAGCTGACGGAGACGGTGCACGAGTTCTACTACCTCATGGCGGAACGGTTCGCCGCCGAAGGGGAACAGCAGTCGTCCAGCAGTCCCAGCAGCAGTCTGATCGACCAGACGGAACGCCTGCTCATGGAGCGCCTCTACGCCAGTCTCTTTGCGCGCGTGCAGAGCGAGGAGGAGGAGAGGGACCTGGCGCTGCAGAAGAAGATCCGCAACCTGAACTGGATCATGGGCAGCCACCTCGACGTGGAGATCNAGCCTGATCGACCAGACGGAACGCCTGCTCATGGAGCGCCTCTACGCCAGTCTCTTTGCCCGGGTGCAGAGCGAGGAGGAGGAGAGGGACCTGGCGCTGCAGAAGAAGATCCGCAACCTGAACTGGATCATGGGCAGCCACCTCGACGTGGAGATCAACCTCCGCCACCCGAAGGTGAAGGACCTGCTGGAGAAGGCCATCACCGAGATCATCGAGCTCGACTCAAAGACGGTCCCTTACGAGAAGCTGGACTCGGTGGTGCGCTGCGCCAAGACCATCTTCGCCATGCTGCAGGTGGCCACCAGCGAGGCCATCTCCGCCGACCACTTCCTCCCGGCGCTGGTCTTCGTGGTCATCAAGGCCAATCCGCCCCTGCTCCAGTCGAACATCAAGTTCATCACCCGCTTCAGCACGCCCTCGCGGCTGATGAGCGGCGAGGCGGGCTACTACTTCACCAACCTGTGCTGCGCCACGCAGTTCATCGAGAAGATCACCGGCGAGTCGCTGAACATGAGCGAGGCGGACTTTGAGCGGTACATGAGCGGGGAGGCGCTGCCGCCCGGCCACTACCGCGCCACCTTCCTCTGCGAGGCCTTCCGCCTGCTGGCGAGTAATCACGCCATGCTGGCCGACGCCGTGGAGCGGGGCGCCCACTGGACGCGCAACATCGACTCGCTGGAGGCGCGGATGGACCGCTTCGAGGAGAGCTTCGAGCGGCGGTGCCGGGCGGCGATCGACTCGAGCCGGGCGACGCTGGCCGCCACCGCCAGCTACCGCCTCTTCAACGAGGACTTTGACCCCTCCCTCCTGCCCGCCTACTTCAAGACCGTCTACGGGGAGCACCTCGACCGGGTGGTCGCGGTGGCCGAGGTGGAAGGGCAGAAAGAAAAGGTCAACACCGACAACTCCGAAGGAGTCACCGAGGACATTCTCATTGACCTCGGCGAGCCGACTGAGTAGAAGCGGTTAGTGGGAGTGTATCGGTTTATTATTATTGAATGATTAAAGATGGTGAAGGGGATGATGATGATGCTCCTGTGGGTCACCACCACCACCACAACTACTACCACCACTACTACTACTGCTGGTGCTCAGCGACCGAGCGTACCGCTGACTGGACTCGGTGAAGCGACGGACGGCTCGCCGGAAGCTCCGTCCACGGCCAATCAGCAGCTCACTTTCCTCGCCATCGTTCTCCTCACCACCACCACCACCACCACTGCTGCTGCTGCTGCTCACATCCGATTCAGCAGAAGAGGAGGAGGAGGAGGTTGTTGATGAGGCTGATGATGAGGAGTTGTGCGCCAGCTCGTAGTCGGCGGCCACGACCTTCTTCTGTCTCCGTCCCTGTCGTCGACGACACCGGTGACAGCACTTTTCAATGACCTTCTCCTCATCTTCCTCCTCATTTCCGCCAATCTGCCCTGCAGAGACCGTCTCCCTCAGCGCATTCCTCTTCTTCTTCTTCTTCTTCTTGGCCCTCCTTCGCTGTCCACTTCTGAAGCGAAACTCCCTCTCCTCGTTGACGCCATTCTCGTCGATGCTGCTCAGGCTGGGCAGTGTGTTGGAGTTGGTCTGCCGGGCCTTCAGCCTCACCTGCTGCTTCGAGCTGTTGCTGCTGCTGTTGCTGCAGCACTGCACCGAGTCCTTCTCCTCGGTCGTCTCAAAGTCGACGCAGTCAAAGTCGGCGGTGGTGGTCATCGACTTGACGGAGCCGGGCGTCAGTGGACTCTTGTCCGCTGCTGCTGCTGCTTGTCCGAATCGGCCCGGGCCTCGCGTCGAGGGCGTGGAGAGGCAGCTCTGGTAGCCACCAGCATTGCCCCCACAGCCGTCGCCGTAGCCCGAGTCAAAGGTCGAGGTGGTGCTCATCTTCGGTCCCAGACGACTGTGGTGGCCCACTGAGCCCGTGGCTGGGGTGACTGGACTGAGGGAGTTGAGGAGGGCGTCCAGCGAGGAGGTGGAGGTGCACTTGTTCATGGAGGGCTGCTGCTGCTGCTGTCTGCTTTGAACTTCCCTTGCCTGCTGCTGCAGCAGCTGATCGGTGAGCGGCGATGAGTCGGGAGTGCAGCTGGAGTAGGCCTGACTACGCCCACCAGTACAAACTTCCGTCTGCGTGGACCGCTCCACACTGGGACGATGGGACTGATTACTCCGCTTTCGAAAGCCCTCGCACTCCGTGTTGAGCAGTGCAGAGGGTCGGGGCGTCTGACGGTGAGGAAGATCACAAGTAGTAGTAGTAGTAGTGGTGGCCTCGGCGGTAATCGGCTGTCTGCTGATGATCACTGCTGCTTTGGAAGAAGAAGTAGTGGAGGTGCCCTGCGTCCGTCTGCTTGGGGCCAGAATGCGGCACTTCCGCGGACTCCTCGGCGGGTGGTGACGATGATGGTTATGGTGATGATGGTGACACCTGCTGCGTTCACACTCCCCCTCCTGCTGACTGCACTCCTCCTCCTCCTCCTCACTGCTACTGCCCCTCCTTCGCTCCCTCCTCTGCTGTTCGAGAATGCTGTATGGGAGGTGGTGGTCAAAGAAGGCAGCTCGCGAGTGAAAGACGGGCGGCACCTTCTCCACAAAGGGCGAGATGATGGAGGACTGCTGCCGCTGGGGCGAGTTGTGCAATGGCTGCTGCTGATGATGATGATGTCCACCACTAACTTCTCCCTCTCTGAGCATCAGTGCCTTCTCCCTCTGCTCCAGCTTGAGCATGCAGGTCATCAGTTCGAGGTAGAGGTTATTGGCACACTCCCGCTTCCGCTCGTACTCCTCGCGAATGGCCGTGGCGTGCATCAGCTCGTCCTGCCGCCGGGCCACCAGCTTCTCCACCACCAGCTGCTGCTGCTGCTGCTGACCTTCCAGATCCCTTTCCCCCGCCTCAACGGTGGGCACGGCGGCACTGGACCTTCTTCTCCTCATCATCGCCTTCAGCCTTGCCCGTATCTCCTCCCGCCACTG